TCTTGCAGCCAAGTCCCGAGAGGTCGGATCAACTTACGCAATCATTCCCCAACAAAAAATGTTTTCGACCAAATTTGGTTGAAATTTACCCAGGCATGATAAAGAAGTAGGATTTAAGAAATGATTCCCCACCTTATGGTGTATCAGATAAAATTTGTTTGAAATCCTTTCAATCATTAAGGAAGAGTAGAGTTTTGAAGTAAACATATAGTCCCATGTGGTCGAATCCTGGTCTAACTTGCCATTTCTGGGTCCGCTCTGAATACCCTAGGTGTTGAATCAACTTTCTCATTTGAACAATTAACTGCCTACCCCTAATACTATTGTTTCAGAACAAATTTGGTTGAAATCCGCCCTTGAGTTAAGGATCAGCAGTGTTTTTAAAATAAGTTTACGGACGGCCGTTTGGGTCAGATGACCTAAAATGCTGTATGATGCATTTTGATTCATTTTTGACTATGTTATTGATTAAAAAAGACAAATACGTTAATGGCAGCTTAAAATACCAATCTACAATAGTGCCAAAAATGAATTTTACTTCATCATAAATAAGTTGTACAAAGAAACTCGACACTGTTTCAATAACGCACATGTAAAATACATTAAATAGCATACAGGAGAGTTAATCTATGGAAGGATCAACAAAGTGTCAAAACAGAATAGATAAACAGGGTAGATAAAGTTCTAATTAAAATCGACGGGTATCTACTCATCCGTTTGTTTCAGTAATGAGTATTATCGTCTATAATGGACTTGATACCGCCATCCAATATCTTGTCATCATGAAACCATTATCAAGTTTCAACTAACAATAATTAATGTCTGGTCATTCATGGAAGATATCCGTTTTTCGTTCTGTTCACTTAAAACAGAATGTAATCAACTTTAAGTTACCTTTCGAAATGAATGTAACATAAGTAGATTTGAAGCTAATATTAATACATAACTTGCCTTAAGTTATAATTCAGATTTTACAATCAAATGAATACATAGAATTTGCAATGGATCAAAATGTAGAGAAAACCAAATACTAAAATCACTATTGATATTTTCCCCATATGTTTACATTTCATAACATTCTGTCGGAGCTTAATTAATTTGTGCATTAGTTTGAACGTCGCTCGGTTACATACTCAAGTACACACATTTTGCATTACTACAAATACTGAATGAAAGTAGAAGTTATCACAGTTGCAGAAGACTTAGTGTCTCTTTGTTTGAATCCCATTTCCAGAGAAAAGCTCAAATATTTGCATCAATCGAGGGGCAAGCGACAGCGCAGCAGTGAATAATGGAGGAAAATAAAACATTTCAACATTTATAAATATTCTTATAACGAAATGCTTCAATAAATGCAGGAAGATAGTTAAGTTGAAACAACAGATTGTCAAATAAATTGAGAGAAACATTATAAAGAGAATTCGTCACTTCTTTAAAATGCTTGAAATTGCACTTATCAGCGATCATCATTCAAGACACGATTAAAAAAAATCGCTTACAGAGAATATGATAAAGTTGAGAGCGTTTGACAAATGCAAACAGTAGTTTGATATTTGCCTCTAGGCTTGTTTGATTACAGCATTGTTTCAATTAAACGTCCTCATTTCAAAGAGATCCTGTTTGCGATAACTGCTATTGAATAAATCAATACACTTTATAAGTTCAGCGGTACGTAGTATAAGGCTAGAATTGCTTTATTGTAAATCCATTGTCTTTTTAAAAATACAAATTATTGAGTTTTATGGTGATCAAGGGTTAAATTGTTGATATACCCAAAGTGTCACAAGATAAAACACACTCTTATATGGTACTGTCGTTTATCGTGTGGACATAACCTTCGATTCCTGTGCGTAACACCTCTTCATTGTCAACATTGTTGCTAGATACATGGATTGGGTCATTTAGTATATAGGTGTATCTTGTTTACCATTTATCCACGAAGGTCAGTTCATATAGGTGACATGGTTGTGATTAGTCAACAGACCAATTGCGTCAATTACTTAACACGTTTAAATGTCACCATCAGAGTACGCTAGTACCAAACTCCAAACATAGATATTGTGGCAATTTTTAAAGTGGCATATAACATAGGACATCTGTGAAATAAATCGTCACTCAAAATCTATATAACGAGCGACCAATGAAAACAAAGGAGAACATTACCTGGACATTATTGCAATTGGAATAAATAAAGACGAATATGGTCTGAAATTCAGCGTTTGTTAATGTAAGAAATTGTTCTCGAAAGAAGAACGAATGTATTGAACACTTAACTTCCATGCCTGTTGATGACCATCAAAACTGTTAACGTTCATAATACGAATGTAATAGAACATTTTAACATACCACCATGATGACATCACCTATGACTCCCACAACGACGCCGTGTCGTCAGCATCCTTCCGCAGTCGACATGTGATAATGTTGGTATTGAATCAAATACTATATATACCCACCGCTGTTTAGGTAAGCGGGAACTTGGGTTCAAGAAAATGAAACTTCAATATATATTGACGGTATTGTAAGGTGACTCAGTTTGAATTTTTTTCATTATTGTGAGATTAAGAACTTGATGGTTGATCAGACCGGTAAGGTTATGTTTTTATTTTTAAGATAACACGTCATCAATCAAATGATGATAAAATGACAGTTACTATGACAAGCTGACGCCGTTTTTTCCCAAAGGTTGTATCTGTAATCTTAAGTGTGTTGTAAGATATTATCACCCAAAAAGAATCTTTCCAATATGTTTTAATTGTGTGGAAAAAATAGGCAATGGGGGAAAGCATAAAAACTCGTCATATGACAGAGTAGGTAAACGCTAAAATTTGCAGGGTTTTAATTTATATAATATCTAGAGTTCTGGGCGGACAAAATAGCTTCATAATGTAGTTTCAGTAATTGAAAGGCATATGTTCATATATTTGTTAACACTTATTGCTGTTATATCAAACATTAAATATTATTAGTATGCGACAAAAGATAATTAAATTGATTCATATTCAACAAAACTGTAATGTCTGCTTGTAAATTTGAACTAAAAGACGTCTTAGTGATTCCATCATTCATTCACAATAAAACAGACGCGAAAGCAAAGTATCCCCATAATACTTCTGTAACTTTTGATTTCAAGTATAACACTAAAACACTGAAAAAAATTGTCGAAAGTTAAGATCAAAGTCTAAGCTGTTTTATAAGCAATCAACAAAGAACAAGCCATCAAAGTATTGTTGGACGAAGGGAGATAACTATTATAATATTTATTGCATCGTCTTTCGTAAATAAATATACAGTTATATAGCACTTGAGAAGCCAATGGATAGGGAAAAGGTTAAGGGAGTAATTTCACACAGTTACTACAAGCTCATTGCATCCAAACTTTTCAATTATAATCAAACGCTGCATCAACTGAATGTAGACGATTTAAGAACTTTTTCTGTTAGTTTGTTCTGGGTATACCTCTTATAACCACGGTCCAATTGGGCAAATAGTATTTCGTTATTAAAGCATAATCCAAAATGTTAAATTACGAAAGCTTTTCATGAGGGGTCCTAAATATCCGCGTCCGCTATTTGGAATATGAATTTCAAGACACTTACGGGTTCTGCTGAAAACTATGCCGGCTAATGGGCGAAACGAGAACATAATGCGTTGGTTTCACTATCTCGGTGGGTCAAATCAATTCGGTCCAGCATTCTCAAACGAATTCGCAGCTCGAAATCTAAAATGAAAAAAAAAAAAAAAAAAAAATACACAATACATAATTCAAGACTTACATGACAGGTAATGTATTGTGTCTGCAGATAAGGCGTCTAATAACTTGATCCATTATTACATTTCCTGTGTACGAAACGAACAAGGCTTGCTCGATAACGAAAGAAACCCTACATTATGCAAACTTTCCAAAGAGAAATTACTGGATAATCATACTTTGGCATTACAATAAGTTAGATTACCTATCAATGGTAAGGATACGGACAAGCCCGTTTATATTGCATTGCTAACCTTTACAATAATCAGTACAAACAATGTTTTATTGCTGGCTTGTTCACGAACAGGTTGATGTCTTGACGTCTTGTAGTTAAGCATCTGCTTGGGCAAGACATGTCCATTGAGCGATTTTCGCTACCTGTCCTCTCGGTGATAAAAACTAGTCAAACCGACAACAATGCAGCATCTAATATATAGATAACACTTCTTTATTCTTTGCATACTTTCAATGCATTTTTTCTCTCCTCTCATACTTTTGAATCTAACGTCATATTATAATGCAAAAAGTACTTAAAAAGTGAAAATTGGGGAGAAAATAACTTTCCTTTCTTGGTTTATTTCGCATATGTTTTGCTATAATTACTATTGTTTTGTGTGTGAATTAAGACTTTTGATTCAGAAAACAACGGTACTTAATTTTGCAATGGACATATTTATCACAAGGCTTGCAAGCTTCGATTTTTATGGTAAATGTTTACTAGGATGTTAGAGAACGATATCTGGCTATCTATCTCATTGGTTGTGTCCTTTTTTTACAAGGTCAATTAACACCCTCACTGAAAAGTAATCTTCACAGCGCAATCATTATCAATTGTGAGTTGCTAAACAGGAAACAAAAGAGAACGCTGATTAATGATTATAAGTAGATCAGTATATATATAAACGGTTCATGTTATTGTTCAATCTTTCAAAATTTCAGTCCTTGAAAAATCTTGTTTATGATATATTACTTGAACGAACAAATCCAAACGAAACATGGATCAAGGTAACAGGTAAGCAATGCTGCTAACGTCAGATGTAGAGTTGATAACATAAGAGCAATTACAAAATGTAGTAATGATTGATGTGTAAGTAGATATCCCTGTCAAGCTTCGGTATATAGGCGGATGTATTTGCTTAAGTAAGTCGATATTTACTTAAGGTTTTGTGTACCTTTAACATATATAAGTCTCGCGTTTTTCATCTTGGTCATTTAGCCAAAGCAACAGAAAAAAACATAAATCCACATCATGAAGGTCTGCATGATTCTTCTGCTTATATCGATTACCATTCAAGGTAGGTCTTACAGAATTATGGTAAGCTATTGGAGTAATATCTACTATTGGGATGGCGAAGGAAAGGGGTGGGGCATTTTCACCATTCAACCGTCGTCAGATTGTATTTATTGTCAGGTGAATGCAATCTTAGCTATAAATATACTCTGACGACCGGTCGATAGTTATATTTATATTCTAAGATATATCTTATATACTATCTAAAAATACCATCTTGTTTATTGAATCAAGTTATGAAGTTTCTTTTTTTTTACTTCTGTGTGTTTATTTGTTGGAAGAGCTTACTGAAAATCTTAATCCTCTAAATGTTTGATGTAAAGCTACACAACGGTAGTTATATGAGGCGATGTGCAAAGCGTTAATATAACGTTAGTTAATATGGCGCCAAAATAAAACCAAACAGCATCATCATCTTGACTGATTTTACATTCCAGATTGCAATCTATATTAACACTGATTAAATTGGAGGACATGATACAAAATTTTCATAGCAGCCATTGAATGACACAAAAAACATTATTTCAACGTCATTGTTTTTATAATGAAATGTGTGCCTTCCTTGAAATCTTATTGGCTATTGCAAAATCACGTATTTGCTCTCGTCAACAATTTCTATCCCACGATGATTCGAAATTGTTGAATATATGGAATTTAACACAGTAATTGTTTAAAAAGTAAAAAGAATTGTTCTTGTTCATTTGATAGGTCTTGTGTTTGGGATTGATTATGACACGAAACTTTCTGTTTTGTATTACTAACTGATGTTCACAATAAATTCTTACTTTAGATAATTTATATTAAACACATTCCACAAAATGCTAAAATTTAAAAAAGGTTTAGTCAAGAATGCATTGCCGATAAAAAATATATGTTATATGATTTGTTAATTTAAAGCATTTGACGAATGTACATCTAAATATTTGTTATGGATTAAGATTGTCTGCACATAACCTTACAAACCTTATATGAAGATAATAATATAAGTTGTAGAAAAGATCTTGATGGGAATTGCCATGATCGCCATCATAATATCATACAAGAGTATTCTAATTCTTCGTCCAGTATAATATCAAACGTCCTCAATACACCTGAGTATGACTGGTGGTAGCACGTTATATCTACACAATTTATTTAGGCCCTTAGCATCACTGACGAGTCCTTGAAGGACGAAACATCTGCATGGTGCAGTTTAATTCATTGTTTAGCTACATTCTATTTAACTCTAAGTTTGTATTAAAGGTGCTTTTCACTTTTATGTTTTTGTACAATCTTTAAGAATGTGACAAAAAATTGATTAACATTGGATTTCATCTTGGGTGTTCTCTATAAAGCAAAAGCCATCCTTCCAATACAATCTGTCACACTTTTCAACTGTATCCATATTAATATGATTTTTATATGCTTGTACTCATTTAACCTACTTGTGTGTACTTTTAGCAAGATATGGTTTTATTTACAGGACAAATTCTCTTAATTGATTTAAAGAATAAGCATCATAATTGTACTTTGAAGTTATTTAGAATTATTTTGATAATGCTTAACAAGAGATATCGTACAATAACAAGCTGGTGCAAGGTTTGACTTCAATTTTTGTGACTTTCTGATGTATTTTGTAGTTGCTGAATCGTTTGACTGTACCGGTCGCAATGACGGACTGTATGAGGTGGGATGTCACGTGTTTACGAAATGCACGTCGGGAACTGCGACAACGGTGGAATGTCGGCCACCACAAGTCGTCAATATTGAGACTGGTAGCTGCGATAGGCGAGTGTCAACATTTAAATCCATATGTCGCTGTGGTTGTGTATCTCTGCATCCTGATATTTTCAAATAAATATTATTATGAAACGTATAGAAGAAAATAGAGTGTCAATAACAGCGACATGTAAGAGAGTATCAATCGATTGGATTTGCAATTGAATAAACATTAAAACACAAACAAATGTTAAAAAAAAAAAAAAAAAAAGAAAAGGAAGAAAGTCGTAATCCAACAGTTCCATGTGGCGACCTCAGCTGCACATTTGTTGAATTTTTAATTTCGTAGAGTTACATTTTATTTGCAGCGCTCAGAATATAAACGAACCCTGTGGTACATTCCGTGACTGCGGGGGTAAAGATGACGGAAAATATCCAGATTTGGAACGAAACTGCCAGTATTATTTCACCTGTGCCAACGGAAGGTTCATGGGTCATAACCCATGTCCTACAGGTCCTACAATGTTAAAGCTTGTATTCACAATGAACGTAAACTTAATGATATAATATTATATATGTAAATTCACTGTATTAAGTAGGCTACGGCAATGTTGGTATATTACAAATGTATGTATATTTATCATAAAGTATTGTTTGAATAAAGAAATGAACCATATTTTTCAATTTGATGAAAACAATCACGTCTATTGTAAATTAATATCTTATCCGTCTTCAACAGTTGTGTTCTCGCAATTTCTTATGTATTGTACAGTGTATTGATTATCATTATTTTATTTTGCGGTGCAGATGTATGAGCTACTATTTTACCACAAACCTCAGGGGTTATTCATATGTCTTGGTATATAGGTTGAATAAACAGGTATACTTTGAATGATAATATGTTTATTCTTAATTTGCAGGTCTTATATTTAACAAGGACATTCAGGTGTGTGACTGGTTTCAGAATGTGAAAAGTCCGTGCGGAATCAGACCAAGTCCTCCATAATATAAACTATGCATTACCATTATAGAATGTTATGTGTCGATTTCCTTTGTTTAAAGTCTTTCATCATGTTGACTTCTAAGAAGGAACCATCAGAGGTTTAAAACTGGTTTCTTTTCACATCGACAAAGTGTATGTGTACTAATTGTTCAAATATAAAATAAAATATCATTTATGTTTTTGTTCCTTTAGTTGGCTTCTTTTGTAAAACTGATATTATTTGTATTTCATTAATCAATAAAGTAACACATATGAAGACAAAACCAATTTTTGCAAGCGCTATTGGTATTAGTTGTAGTTTGTACAAGATTATGCAAAAGACACATATGTAAATCGTACCATTCAACATAAATTATATAATAAGATTTTTATTGAAGAAAACTATATCATACAGATGTTATTCTGAAGACCTAAATTGGTTACATAGAAGGCGACCGATGATAATAAAAATTCTTGGAAATTGAATGTTAGAAAACCAGACGAGAATGTGCACTAATCCTAAAATTTGATAAATTCATGAACTGAAGTACTGTGATTTCAATAGATGATCCTACATGAGTGTCAGGTAATATGGATTTTATCGAAAGAGTTCAATGATTTGACATGCCACAACTTGTGAATGTAAGATTCTATTTATCATATAACTTATATTTGAGCGAAATTTTCCTATTTCGACACAGACGTTAAGTTGTTCGCTACAGAGACAATCATGAGATGTCATGAAAGTTACTTAGTTATCATTATAGTGTTGATACACGTGTGTCATACGATATTTGTATGTATTTTTATGATATCGTCATATAACCTGACACAAAATGTCAGTTACATTTTAAAACGTATCAAGAGTTATGGAGTTATGTTATCAATTACATTTTCATCACAGACTCGATTTTACTTGATATGACCTTTAACCTTGGCACGGGCTTTACTTGATGTTATCATGAAAATGTCAAAGCTTCCAGTTGTTTAATTTTCACGGACGAAAAACACTGTACTGTAAGTAAGAAGTTGGAAAAATTTCCAAATTGGAGTTTGACAAGTTTTAAAGTTGAACGAACCTAACACGGAACTTGATAAAGTTGGTAGTGCTGATGTTTAATAAATTCGTTCGAGATCATAACTTACCTCATTGAATATAGCCATTAATTACACCCATTCAAAATATTTTTTTTCTCTGACAATTTCAACATTAACCAGGTTGATGTAAAAATATTGGATGATATATGAATATATCCGCTTTATGTTCACCTGTTGATGCTAATAATTGTGAACGAAGTCATCATTGTTCAAAAGATTCCTAGATAAGAACATCATTTTTAATCTGGATTGACTTTCTAGTCCTTATATGCTATTTCAAAAACATTATGAAAATGTTAAGTAGAAAATAAGTAAATTAAAATGAATATCCTACATTTTTATTTATGAGATTCACGTCACGACGATGAAGCATCTATCCTTGCACCATATATACAATTCTTTTGAGAAGGAAGATGTTATTAGTAATATTGCTTTTTTGTTTATAAGGAAAAGACAGAGCATCGGACCCGAAAATTATATGTAGTATGAATGGTACACCTATGTGAAATACTACATGTGATGAATATATGATAAACATTAATATCTACTCGATACAACACACTGTCTGTTCCGGCGTTCAACACATAACGGATTACCAGTTTAAGATAAGGAAATTATTACACATATTTGGACAATGTTGCCTCTGTTGATGTCCAGGTGGTGTCAGAGAACAAATCCACGTGTGGCAGAGCCAATATATATATATCGCAGGACAGGACAACAGTTATCTGAGGTTTGACACGAAATATGGAATCAACAGTTATACATGTGATATGTGTACTTATGACAGCTTTAGTAACAGGTAAGCGACTATTTTCTATGACCTATATGTATATACCATGCCTATACCTAGATATATGTATTTAAACAAATATTTTTGTACACAAAGGCTTATACATACGATACATGACCTAGATTCTATTTATGCTTTATATTACATTTGTTGACTTTCAAAATGTTTATTTTTGGGCAGGTAACAAAACATATCATATTATATTCATAGTTGACCTCTATATTTGAAATTATTCTGATTCAGTATCGTTCTTGTTTACATTAGAGGTACCTATATAATGCTTTATCTGTATGGTACAGACTGGTATGTACATTAATTACAATATATATACTACAATATGTATATTATGTTAATTAGTTACTATATCTACTGAAAAAAGGTTATGGATAGCACGCAAATCATGAACAAAAATAAAATTGATATTGATGTTGTCGATAGATATGGCTTATACTATATGCTTTATTGCAGAAAATTGTGCTTGTCATTTCTCCTATTCATGACAGTGCAAAAACTCCACGTAGTCTATAATGATGGGATGTTAAACAAGAGTCAAATGAAGATAACTACAGAAGACAACTTTACCAAAACATGAGGATAGAACGAATTTTCAAACTGAACTGCACTGTACAGTTCATATCTGAAGAGTGTTATACTCAATTTATATAGTTAAGAATGACATCTAATAACTACGAATCGCCATTATATTAAATGTGTCACACATTTCATTATGTGTATTAATACATAGATTACGGAGATATGGAACAGGAACCTCATGTATAAACTGTTTTAATTTTGGTATCATTATATGATGATATGGAATTAATAAACTTTTATTAATATACATTTTCTGTTAAAAATATGTTATATATCATAAATCACGTTCTTCATGCAAACATCTATTATGCTCCTATGAGTAAAGTAGTTCATGTCAAATCTAATATTTATTATCATGCTGGTTACTACATAAACCTTAAGAGATGCATTGTATATCATTTAAGGTTGTATTAACGTAAGACGGCTAACCATTATAAGTAACTGTTGTAGTGGTAATATTTTTTTCTATAAGATTAGACGATAGAGAGTAATTTAAAGGAAAATTAATATAAGACATTTTTACTGCTATAGGCGTCAAATATGCGTAAAAGAAAATATTTATTTCGCGTAATTTCCCTTTTCTCACGGTAAATATTTTTTTCTTGAAAATATAATGATACTGGGGAAATAAAAAGTAATATAAAAATGCTATGTCATTTGCTTATAACGGATCAGAATTCCATACCAACCAAAAAATGTTTTTAAAAAGTGTTTAGAACTCTTCAAGATTTTTGATAGAATTTTTGTTTGTTTGTTTTGGTTTGGTTTTTGCCTGATTGTTTGTTTTTTCATTATTCAAAAGTGAAGAGAGTTACGTTTTCGCAATTTTCATCCTATGTCTCAGATCAAGACACATACTGAAACCTTTATTTTCGGGTCAAAAATACAAGAAAAATGATTCATCAATTCACAGTTTACATACACGTCAAATAAGTGATTTGTGTTCGTCATGTATGCAAAATTATGTTGATGTTTATCTAATACTCATCCCATCACAAAATGAGGTACACAAGTTTAACTTCTACATACCGTCAAATTAAGCGCTCCACATTTGGCAATAGTTACAACAATAGATAACAATGCATATAAACGAATTTCTAATGTCTAAGATATTACACTGGAGATTATTTTATTATACTTCCGTTCTAACAGGACTTTCATAAACTCGAAGTGTATAAGATACAAAACTATAATTCCATTTTGTCTTGTTTATACCCCCGCAGTTGTATTGCCTCTGGATTGTTTTGGCAAACAGGACGACGTTTATGATGAAGGGTGTCGGTCCTACACAAAGTGTGCCAATGAAACAGCTGTAATTATGTTTTGTGATACAGGAACGGTATACAATAGGGATACGCACACATGTGATGAGTATGTAAAGTTTATATAGTCATGTTTTCTTTTACTAAATTAATTTGTAATTATTGGCTTATATTTATTTATTGCGTTTATATATCTTTTCAGTTCATTTCACCCGGATGGGTATACAATGTACTTAATTTCTGATAGAGCTAAGTGAGCTCAATAATTACTATTATTAATTAGAAACAAATGTTTTACACGTACCCTTCTTAATTACACTTGTACATACAAATAAAATATTGTTGCATTATCTCTTTTGTTTTAGCGCATTTAATGTACCTCCACCCTGCGGAACATTTCGAGAGTGCTCTACCCTCAATGATGGGGCGTACCCTGATATTGACATGTTGTGTACATCCTATTATACATGTAACAGGGGCAAGTTTTTCGGACATTCTATGTGCCCTCCAGGTATTATCACTTTCTAGTATGGTAACCTTATACGCAAAAGAAGCATTCATATACATCATAAATCATTTTGTCTCTAACACTTGATCTGATATCAACACAAAATGGTTAAATCGATAAATACTAAGGAAACTAAATGAAAAGTTCCATAATTACACTTGGAATACGAATTGAATATATATATAAACATTTGTTCATTTGTTTTATTAACAGGATTAGTGTTTAACCAGGGTTTGCAGGTTTGCGACTGGGCATTCAACGTTTCAAAGCCTTGTGGAACATTGCCAGCTACGAATTACGCTATGACTATCGATGAATATATGGCAGTATGACCATACTTGCCAGTAAGCGAACATCGGTGAATGGCATAAGATATGAACATTTGTCGATCAATGTTAATTTTCTTGTCAGTCATCATACATATTGTTGTGCAACAGTATATCAATGATACTGTTATCGACATATGCTACCTCTGGAACTGGTTAGTACAACAAGTGACATATGTTATTGTGTTACATCACTTCAATATCCTTTTGGAGACAATTATTCAACGTACAATATTCTGATGAATGCTGATAACTCGGTTTCGTGAAATAAAATGTCCTAAATATTGTAGTTACTTTCTTATAATAAACATTTGAATACAGTATATCATATTTTATTTTAACCCAACTCTCAAACAATCTCAAACATCTGGATAGGTTATACTTTAGCAAGAAGGTACATCCTGAAGTACAAACCAGTGACATCTTCTTCAAAGCAAACCTTCTGACATAATTAATAATTATGATAAAAAAAACCCATCATTTTACTATTGTCAATTACCCAGGTTCCCATAAAAAACGCCATGCTGTCATATGACAACTAAATACCGTTTTGCATATAGTTCATTCATACACATTTTCCAATGAACCAATATAAGCGTTGGTTACAAATTATCTTTCCAAAATCAAATTACGTCAGTCAATGATTCGGTTAATGTAAATTTTGTTTTCACTATATCACTTTTTCTTTTTTGATTTTTTGTCAGTCATGTATCAGTACTAATTCTAACATCATACTATAATTCCCATTTTATTACAGTCAAACAGTTAACGGGTAAACATAAGAAGGAAGAATTTATAGAAAAAAAAACAGAAATAAAAAGAACACAAAGACAACCCGAATATTTAAGATTGATATCATACAAAAGGAATTTTGTATATAATGTATAAATTATGTTGAAGTTCAACAATATATTTATAAAAACGAAAGGAAAGAAAACAAGGTGCATATAATTACATGCCACTATCAAGACTTTATATATATATATATATAATCACATTTTTATCTACGCTCGGTCCAGATTTTTTCATTTAGTTTGAGGTAATAGGTCAATGGTTAAATAGTGCAAGAAATGGAGCACTGTTCTTGATGACTGCAATAATGGTTGTTTCATTCCAAGACACATCAACAGGCTATTTTGGCCTTTGCCGATCCTTTATAGTGAGTGATCGCGATCATTAGAAGCGGAATTGCATTGCATTTTTAACATCCGCCAGACATCAAAGACCAACTGTTCTTTCGGTTTACCGATCGTCTCATTTTTTTGCTACCAACCCTAATTTTATTATTTATTGTACCCTAAAGCAATTTCACTTAGACCAGAGACCAATATCAGACTTTCAAAAGCAACCTGGACGTTAGCTAATTTTTGTTAAAATTCCTCAATTCCTAATCGTTAAGCAGCACTTGAAAAGTCAGTTACTCAATTACATTAAAAAGCTGAAGAAAATATTGTTTGAACTACAGTGAAGATATGATCTGATGTAAAAACAATTACACGCGAAATTTGGTTTAATGTGCAGATCAAACACGTCCCTTTTACCTCAAGCGAAGAAATAAAGAAATTTGAATTAAAAGACTTTAGAATGCTATCTATGATGCTGAAGTCTGTCAGGTTTATCAATAAAACTGCTTTTAAAAAACCCGTAAAGAACAAAACACAAACAATAAGATAAATAATCCAGTATACAACAACGGCAGCAACAGACAAATTAACAAGCACCAAACATGTCCAGTTACAACCTGTTTCATTGAAATCCCTATGCTACGATCTCGTCCGTCAATTGACGACTTCTTGCACGAAAATCGTGATGATGGTAATAGGTCATTGAATATGGGATCAACTGTGACATTGACATACCACAGGTAGGGGATGCAGGGTATTGCTTTCAGAAATGGAAAATTCACAATAGAGAAAATGAAATCATACAACTTGGCGGAAGCTGTCCATGTTTGTTTCGTTGTAGGATAAGATCGAGATAAGCAGCTGATATAGAAGAATCGTGTCCCAATTCTGGTGGGTTTATACAATGGACGTGGTCGATAAATTTCTAGTTATTTAAAGACAAGGCGACATCAATATATCTGAAAGTGAAAACAAACAACTCGTCAATCTCATACGAAAACAAATACAAGTCAGCCAACAGAGGGGCGCAGTTAGTTCCTATAGGTATGCCAATATAGTCTATTGGAAGAACTCAGCCAAACAACAAGGAGGTGTTATCAGCTAGAACCCCGATGATATTGATGATTTCGTCCTCTTTATATTTCATTTTTGATTAGGACGTATTTTTTATGAAATGTGCTTAAGTATAGCTCGCAACTATCTATTTATACCGCAGTTCTCCTTTCTTTGAGAAGAAAACTTTCATAACAAGAGAACGAAGACTTTCCTGTAGTTCAGAATGGGGTGTGGTGGTGTACAGGGTAGAAAAATTAGATGTTCTCATAGACGAAATATTTGTTTTATAAGCGATGTTGAAGATTGGTCAAAAGTTCTTTGGATTTTCTCAAAATCCATATCCTATTAATTCCGCTACTTGAGTAAACAGTAATACAATAAGATTAACCCAGATTTTACAGTACTTAGAATAATGGTTAGTAGTTTTGGTAAAGGTTTTGTTGAACTGTCGTGAAGTTTATAAATCCAGTATAAAAGGGAGAGGTCCGTATCCTTATCATTAATAGGCAATATAAATGATTGTAATATCGAAACATGATTAGCTAGTGTTTCGTCTTTTAAACAATCGCACAATATATAGATGGAGTTTCAAGCAAGCTCAGTTACTTTTGTATTCAGGAAATGTATAAATGTTTGTAGATAAGGATCAAGTTATTGGACATCTTATCTACAGTCACAGTACCAGACCTGTCTTTTAAATTGTGAAGTGTAGATATCAGGATCGAAGTAAGCTGACCTGTGTTTTGCTTTCATCTTTTGTTTCAAGCCGTAAATATTTTTACGAATGATGGAACTAAAGGACTTAACCCACTCAGAACGTGAATCTAACTCAGCATGCTCTCGTTTCACCTGTTATCTTGCATAGCTTTCAACAGAATTCAAAAGTATCTTAGAATTCATATTCCAATTAACAGACAGGATTTTTTCCTTCATAAAATTTTTTCGAAGCTTAACATTTCGAATTTTCGTAAGATCAAAAATTACTTTGCGCCCATTGTTATTAGGAGGGATAGTTCTAAGCTCATCTATGTTTAGTTGCTGCAGCGTTTGTTCGAGTTGAAAAGATGAAATGGGCTTGGAGTATCTGTAGGAAGAAACAGGGGTGTTTCTTCTTGAACAGACTTCTAGTGTAAAATATTGATGATGTTTATAACTTCTACTCACTTATTTATAAACTCAACCGCCATAAAATGGTAAGTTGAAAAAAGAACCTGGCTATCTGAATGGATAGTTTTTAAATGCCTAATTTGGGCCATACCATCAATAGTTTTTATGAAGTCTCCAAGTTGGTTTTCACGGGTCATCAGAAGTAGTATCGGCTGAATTCACTAGAAGGTTTCGTAGCTCGGAAAAAGGAAACAAATATAACGTAGCTAGAACAAGATGTCCATAGATTTCCAACGTGACCGTATGTTTCCTTGATTTATCTTAATGTCTCTGTCCATGCCAACAATTACGTTTTGTTAAAAAGTTATAATCGTTCAAACCATTTAATGATGTTATGAAAAAATACAATGCCGTAGATACCTTACCGTTTCTATAGGTTTGCTTTACCTGGCAGGGAATATCGATGACTTCAACAAAGCTTGATTTGATGATGGAAATAACAACGAGGACATACCAACATAACCTAAACTCAAAAAAGCACAAGGAGAATAAGACCAGACGTTCCTAATGAGTGAGCGCCGTTTGTTTTATTGACAATATTCGCAATGAAAATCTTGCTCAATCCAAGAAAGAAATGCTACGTTCTCAAATGAGGATAATACTACAATGGAAACTACAGGCAAACTAGCGAGCATCAAACACGTCCAGCTTTATATCGCACAAAGAAATAGAAAATTTCTCAATGAGATATGAATTTCTCACTATGACGACGGTAAACATGAACTTGGACTGGGTGAACTCTAAATAGAATTCATACGAGAACAATATCCATATGACGTAGAAGCGGCAAAACGTCAGACGGAGATATGTTTCACCGTAAATGTGCGAGAAACATACAGAAACACTTATCTAATAGTTCCCATCTATACATTTGTACTATTTCATTACTTTGCGCATCCATCCTGTTAATACATACCCAATGAACATTCATAACCCACACTGATCCATTTAATTGTTGCCACTGTAATTTTGGATATTCTTTACCATCATTCAATACTGATATTCAGGAAATGTATCAACTGTTTTGGTCTGTGCATTTACCCATCTCGTTTTCTTACATAACCTTTGAATAACTTTGATTTCTGATTTCCCTACGTCGTCTGCAATGTTTCAACAATGGATTCCCTAAGCATTAGTTCAAGTTAAGAAGGACAAAAACTGCTATCTGATTTATTTATAAATATTATTTTTTGCTAATCAGTTGTGATTGTTTTAAACAACCTTTAGAATATTCTAATGAAATTTTCGAACTCTATTTCTCACTTACGAAATCTTACTTCATGAGTCAAAGCAATCCATACACGACGGTAATGACGCATTTTGTTTCTAATCGGTAAAAAAGGAATTGTCCTCCATTACCTGTAAGTTTCACGAAAAAAATACCACCCACACTTCTTCTAAATTGATTCTTCAAAGAAAAATAATTTATATATATTTTTACCCTGTAATTAATCTTAAAACATCTTATGTAAGGTTGTTAACCTTGCGCTTACTACCAAACGACTAGCCTTAAATGTAAACTACCCCAATTAGTAAACCCCAAACTAGACAGATATCTTCCCATTAAATGAAGATTTTGCCGGTCAGCCGGGGCGTGCTTCACACTGCCGGTAACACCAGTGGAATGTAGTACATGACGCCCATGGGACCAGAGGAATTGTTTGGAGATAGCAGAGCACCCGCGTCACATTGGCCGTCTTGGTCAGGTCATATCTTGTATAAATAAGTACAGTGACACTGACACAGGCACGCACTCCTGCCACACTGCCACTACAACTCGTACGTGCAATCGTAACAACTCCTCACGTGCAATCATGAAACAGTTAATTGGATTATGTGTACTCCTTGCCTTTTTCGGTAAGTAATGAAAATGAAATTTTCTTATATGTAAAGAATATTTTTCAAACTTTATGAATTTCAGAATATTTTTTTCTATACGTTTTTCTCTTGAATAAGTTCATTGATACCATTTTTCAAAATACTAATCAGGGACGCATCGTTCACTTACTCTTCAATAATCCACACTCCGTTTAAATTTGTAAAAGACAGACAGCCCTGACCTCGAATGGGTACTATCTGACAGGTCCATATTCAGAACTTCAGATCACTCATTGCTTGAATGAATAACACAATAAATTATCTCTATAGACAGATATAAAACAATAAGGATGCCAAAGGCAAACGTAGATCGGAATTCTTTGCTTTCACTAGCATCATGATAAGTACATGAAATGTAGCATGAAAAAGGTAATAGAACAAAAATACGGCAAAAGCACAGAGACATTTTGAACTTGTAAGTTACTCAAAGATTCATTGAATAATATTTTCCTTGTTCTAAAGGATGCGAATAAAACATAATTAATACCTCAAATTCTTTCAAAGTCAATTTCAAATCTAATATCAGTACATATATGTTGTTATCGTTTCAAGTTAACAATTTATCTTTATTACAAGATTGATTGCAACAATCTATACATTTTCTGGTATTTTCGGCTAGTGTCGGTCGATTGCAAGTATTATATCAGGGAACTAATAATTTATTAGAAGTCTATTTAAGATGAAGATGAGACATAAAATGTGTTCTTGCTGAAAGGCCAACTTGACAAGTATCAAAGTAGGGTAATTAATGAGAATATTAGGAAGTATTTATTATTAACAAGTCTGAATGAATACGCATGGAAGATTTAGGCCAAAATATAGGCTTATCAGAGATTGGCAAGGGTATCGCGTCATGATGAACAGATGGCTGTATTACTTGTTGTGAACTCCAACTGATAAAGTAGTAAGTGTGGGTTATATAATGTATTCATCCTCAAGGAGAAGATAACTTAACAATGGTAGGTTATATTACCAATTCATCTCCATGGAATAGATAACGAAGCAAAGGTTACGAAGCAAAGGTAGGTTATATTACCAATTCATCTCCATGGAATAGATAACGAAGCAAAGGTAGATTATATTAACTATTCATCTCCAAGGAATAGATAACGAAGCAAAGATAGGTTATGTTACCAATTCATCTCCACGGAATAGATAACGAAGCAAAGGTAGATTATATTAACTATTCATCTCCAAGGAATAGATAACGAAGCAAAGATAGGTTATATCACCTATTCATCTCCAAGGAATAGATAACGAAGCAAAGATAGGTTATATTACCAATTCATCTCCATGGAATAGACAACGAAGCAAAGGTAGATTATATTAACTATTCATCTCCAAGGAATAGATAACGAAGCAAAGATAGGTTATGTTACCAATTCATCTCCATGGAATAGATAACGAAGCAAAGGTAGATTATATAAACTATTCATCTCCAATGAATAGATAACGAAGCAAAGGTAGATTATATTAACTATTCATCTCCAAGGAATAGATAACGTAATAAAGATAATTATATAACCTATTTTTATATTAACGAGGCAAAAGTAAGTTATATTATGTGATCATCCCTAAGGAATTGAAAAAGTAAAGTAAAGTTTTTGATGAACATTATCGCTAAATAGCGGATACAGGATTAGCATCATATATCGTTATTTCACTTAATGTATTAATGACATTTCCATTCATGTAAATTTGAAACATGTTCATGATAATGTATACTTGATATGTGGTATACCTCCCAGATACCTTGCCCATTTACTTTTTAATTTAAACAGGCATTTTGGTCATTGACATTTGTGTGATGTGATTGAAATATACTATGACATGTGCAAGGAATTGTGCCACATGTTCCCTATTTTGCATGGACGGTTAATGAATGCAAGTAGGTAGAGCGTCCATTGTCTGACATCCTTCAAAAACGATTTCACATATCGACAATTTTATCCTATTGACTTTTATCATTGCTTCTCTTAGTGCTTTCTTGCGAAGTGATCGACCTCAGCTGACAATACATCATCTAGAAAACACAAAACAATAACATAACATACTTAGATGTAGTTTGATTATTCAAAGCATTTGATTTTGAAATTTTTACAAGTCAATATCTAGATAAGTTTGCTAGAAATCCTTCCGCAAAAAGGACGATTTAACACAGCATAACATTTGTCCGGACACTGATGAATGTATACATTAACAACAGAACGAATGTGATGGTGACAGAATGTACAAAAGACACATAAGTGAAAAGTGATAGATATGATATTCTGTTTTTAAATCTTTATCTGGGATTTATTCTCACACTCACACTAATTAACGTCTGGAGGCATATTTAATACTCTAATGAAACAAATCCTTGCTTCAATCAAAAACATATGACAATTGATTTATCTAATACGATTTACAATGAAACCAGGAATAACTTCAGAGTACCAAAGTTATGATGTCATATATTCTTAGTGGTGCTTAGTGTCAATTGCTTGCTAGAACTGTTATTGAATTTTAATGTGTAATAATTTGATAATTGGGCACTAAGGAATTTAAGAGTCCACTATCTACATGATATCAATAACTCAGACAATCAATAAGTATTAGATGCATGTACATTAATTTATAGGGAAATGGTGGTACCATGTTAAACATACAGGTATACATTTACTACAGATAGTTTTCATTATTCAAAACTTTTAGACAAATCTATTAATCTGCCGATGTTGAGGCAACACAAAGCAATTTATATTTGGAACGTCAAACCAGACATAGTAAATTTCAATGGTATATTTTTTCTCGGCCAATATCCGTATCTCTGTTCGGAAATCTCGGATTTGTCACGTTCCGAAAGAATTCAATTTCTATTTTGCGCGTTAGAATTTGTTTTAACAATAATTTAAATGAAAGTGAATTATCAATTCAGGATAATTACTGCTAGCCCAATATTGAAGTTTTCAGGAAATATCCGTTTTCAAAATAATTGGTATTTGTGGTTCTCATGGTATGAACAGCACGCCAATTGTTGAGTTTGCTCATGCGCCAGTCTCACAGTTAAGACATAACAAGACATTGATCGGCCATTATATTTTGAATTTGCTTCCATTACATGAAGAAACTCGGGTTAGACTTTTTGTGAAAGATAAAGTGCATTACTTCTAAATTTAGAAAACAATTACAACATCGGTTTCATGCAGTCCCCATCTTTCCTCTTGCTGTTTCATTGTTGTCTCTCTCTAGCAAGTCACTTTCAATTTAATTTAGGAAACTACATCAATTAGTTAAAAACAAATACAAATGCAAATTAAGTTGATTTTTTCTATTCTAATTACAATAATAGTTGAGACAGTATCAAACACTTTCGATTCGAAGTCTAAAAACTAAATGGATTGTACGGACTCAAGTGAGTATGACATTTCAATATAGTTTAGAGCTTGGTACATTGTATCCAAATATCAAGAGCTCGTCATTGATACTAGAAAGTGTGGAAGACTACAAAGCGGGTTACGACAATCAAAACTGACCAAACAAATATACCTTAAATATTGAAGTGTATTCTAGTTATATAACACCTATACAATATAACTCAACCAATTTTATCATTTTTTACTTTTGCAAATACTCATTTACGTTGCTATGTTTCAAAGGTTCAATCTCGGCAAAGAACTGCACCGGAGTCCCAGATGGTATTTTTGAAAAGAACTGTAAATCTTACGCTTTGTGCACGTCCGGTGTCTACAGCATCGTAGAGTGCGGAATCGGCAGTGTCTTCAATGCTGCAACAAACAAGTGTGATAAGTAAGTAAGCTAGTGTTGTAGCATTGTGTTTTATGTCCTGTAGAATGTATTATTGATGTAATATTTGTGACTGGGACGTGCATTACGTGTGATATAGACAGTATCACGTGTTTTGTGGGATGTAGAATGCATTATTGTGTTTGCTAAGTGTGGAGTTTTCATTGTTATATTATTTCTTCGCTGAATATGTGGTTTGGATATCAGATTTATTGCTACTGTGAGAATTGTAAATCTGTATTCTTCGGCATTACCATGAGATCTGATATTATACTTTCATTTTGCAAATAAAAAGGCAGAAATCCGGAAATACATTAATTTTTTTAAACAATTAGTTTTGAACAAATAGGAACTGATGGAAATTGTTAATCATCATTGCAAATAAAGCCAAGAACCTAAATAGTAACTGCCTTGGTGAATTAGACAAAACTGAGCATCACGTTTTCGATCGAATTTGCTTGCTAAAGTCGTACGTAATAAAATATCAGTCAATGGAGATGGTGTTCTTGCCCTCATTACTACGCTGGGGTTTTCGTTCTTGTATAAATAAATCTTCTTTTCCCATTTTCTGTATTTACGCGTGTTCATTGAACCAGTGTGGGGTTTTCATAGATTTTAGATTATGTGTTTGAGGTATTTATACGTGAATATTTAAAATTTTCTTCAAACAAATGTCATTCTACAAATAGTAATGGAAGAGCATCGTTTTGTAAATCGTTATCAGGGTTGTAGGATAGTATAACATGTTTTCTTTCAATATCATTGTGAAAACATGAAAGATTTAATTTATGTTTGACACAAGTCCATTGTTTACACCTCTAGTGCCACCGTTGTTCCTCCTCCCTGTGGCGTGTTTAAGGACTGCGCTGGAAAGGCCGATGGCAGATACCCGGACACCGTAGAACACTGTTCATCATTTTACACATGCGTAGAGGCCAAATTTATTGCACACACCTTCTGTCCCGGAAGTAAATATCTCGTCATCCAACTGTAGTATTTAAAATATATTGTCAAACGGCGGCAAATCAAAGACGTAAACAATGATGAAATAATTGGCCAGTATAACATGAGTGTAGGATTCACCGATTTAAGATGTTATTAAAGATATCACCATTTCAATATAGCAATTAATGTTTATGAAAAAAATCATAACATAGTAATATGAACTGACTGCCTAGGTTAATGATAGCTCTGCAAAATTTCATTGATCACATGGCTAAGCTTGCTAAATTAATACATATTTAAGAATACCTTGTATTTAAAATTGTCATTACATCAACTTACTTCAGCAACTTATATTTTTGAGGCTCTTTTTCTTCTTTGATAATTCATTCAGTCGATAAAAAGTTATCATGAAACCAACTTGTACTGAAAAATTATGTCAGTTTTTAACAGTGTATCAGCTTACTGGCATATTAAGAATCGTAGATCAAGATTAACCACTAAATCAACAAAATAAATTACTAATGACAAGCAATTGTTTTGCAATAATGAAATTTGTATATCCGGAGTTTACCTAGGTTACAAGCATAGAAATTTCAAACAATATCGTAATAATGATATATACAGATATTATATGTCTTATTCCTATCTTCGTCGATTTGTAGGCACCGTTTTTAATCCCACGGTACAGACCTGTGACTGGCCAGCCAATGTTGACCCACCATGTGGAACCAAAGGAACAGTACATTAAATACGATCGGAGAATGCGTCATTTGTCCATATTCTAATGTATTAAATGTTTTAAAATAATATTCATTTCTCACTGTCTTATGTTTTAAAATACAAACATGAACAGCAAGGTCACGTTCGCAAATGAAAACAAGGTAAGCAACGATGGAACCATCGGACATACTTACGAGCTTGAAGCACATCAAAATTAAAATGTATTTAGTTGTCAGCTGTCGAGATATATGTAACCCTGGTAAAATACTAGCCGCAATATACCAATCGGCTAGGGAGAACTTCTCTTTAGCTCGATTGGTTGAGTGTCAGACTAGTAAGCCAGGGGTCCCGGGTTCGATTCCTATTGGAGGCATTGAGATGAAAAATGACCTCTGTTACATATACATGAGGGGAAAGAAGGAAGTTTACTATGCAGAAATGTAAAATTCACAATGGAGAAATTGAAATCATTGCAGTAAGAGGCTGATGAATAAAAGTCTGGTTTGTTCTTTATTTTTGACTTTTCGACAAAGTAAATACATTGCTTGCTATTTACAAACGAGACATTATCGATATATCTAAACGTTAAAGAAAGTATGACTTTGTCAACTGTTTTGATGAATTCGCCGATAATTTCAGTCTTAAATGAAATGAATAATAAAAAAGACAACTAAGAGAGAGGCAGAGTTTGTCATCAAAGGTATGCCAAGACTGTAGGAAGACACGATCACTAATTGTCAACTAGAAATCAAACAATTTTCACGATTTCATCTTCAGTATATTTCTTCTCGGCCTTGTAAATGAGTTATTTTTACGAAATACTCTCTAATATACAGCGGTTTCCCACAAACAAGAGGCTCCAAAAAGATGAGTCAACAGTCGCCACAGTATCCCTTAAATGCATGGATACCATATGCATCATCTGGGCCTATTAACGTTCATATACGGTATCCAAGTGGTATTGATAAGAAAATATAGATGTTTTGAGTAAGCTATACCCGGTGTTCATGAAACCAGTAAACGTTTTTAGTACAATGCAGTTTAATTGATAATCTTACTCTGCTGTATATATTTCTAATTTTGTATTGAAAAATAATATTCCGTTGTGTTTCTTTTGTACAATCGTTAGTAAGGAAAGATTATAAACATAAACTCTTATTTATTTAATTAAGATATATTCTATAGAGAAAATCCAGTATTGCGTAACAATAAACAGGCATATATACAACAAGCATCAGTTTTGTTTAAAATTTTATAAAATAATTACATTTTGTAACTTACTAATTCCAGATGATACTATATTGTGAATCATTCCAATAGTTTACCTACAGCTCTCGATACCAGACGTCTTCATCTGTCATGGAAATCTTGGTATGGGAACAAATGCTTGAGTATGAATTTAACTACGAAATGTAAACACCATACAATGGATAGGCCACTGATAGCGAAAATGTTACTACTGAGAAATGGAAATTTGTAACGAGGAAAGTGATATCATTACTCATTGCCAAGAGTTAGGTGGAATTTATCAAAAAAAGATCAGACTAAGTTTTAATGTAGAATATTTGTAATCTCTGGTTGATCGTCAAGAGAATATTTCCAACCGACATGGACACTGGTTAATCAATTTCTTGTTATTTGCAAACAATGATATCTTGATATCTTAAACGCGCGATTACGAACTATATCTATTGTTATTATGAAGTCTTCAAAAGTTAAGCCAAGAGAGGACTATCTCAGTAGTTATCTACTGAAAAATACTATGATAATCGATCTCTATCTGGAATTTATTTCATTTTGCCTTACTCTGTCGCCAAATGTGTTTCAGTTGTTATTATCGCCGTTAATCTTTTTTTCGAAATGCTTAAAAAGTAGAAAAGGAAAATGATCTAATAAACTTGATAGGCTGATGGCTGCGGTTTTCCAATTGCATCTATGATTTTTATTGACCACGTCCACTGAATATACCCATCAGAATTTGAAATCAAAGACATATTCTCCTACATAAGCCACTGAATTCGATGTTTCCTACAACGAAACCAGTAGGGATAGTTTCCCACTAAGCTGTTTGATAAGCATGATATTTTCAATTTCTCTATTGTGAATTTTTCATTTCTGGATTGCAATATCCCTACATTCCGAACCTATGGTGCTTACATATAACAGTTTATTTGATAATCAATGATCTGTTCCCATTATCAAGATTTTCGTGTAAGAAGTCGTCAACTGACGGTCAAACTTGTAACATAGGGTTTCTACTTCTTTTTGCGATATGAAGATGGTCGTTTTCAAATTTCGTTGGTTTGTCTGTTGGTCCCATTGTGGTGTTCCTTGATTTTCGTTTGAGAACGTAACAATACCTACTTGTATTGACCCAAGGTTTACATGGAGGGTTGTGATCGGGGAATTCGGTAGGGTAACAAATGACGATAAACAAACATGTCCAGAGTGCCGAGTCCCTCTTTTCAATTTCTTTTTATTCCTTTTCGCAACTTTTCATACAAAAGAGTTCCAATATAAGTTAAACTAAATGCTGAATCGTACCTAATCTAGGATCGATGGAGCGATAAGGCCAAGCAATTATCTCCGATCTCTTAACCCATTACATATACACAACAGGGCATCATCGACAAAGCACAAGAATCTTACTCTTCCGGAACATGTGGTATTATTCTCCTTGTACTTTTTTCAGGAATCTCCGTGTATTTTCTTCTTTTCCCCATAGTTTGCCCTAGATTGATTGAATTTGAGTTTGGATGATGATGGTGTCGACAAGTTTGTATTTTGTATATCAAGATGGTATGAAGACTGGAAGATTTTATATTCGTCATCATAAATCCATTGGGAAATGTCCTCTTCCTTGTGAGATAAAGCAGTATGTGTTAAATGCTCGTCAGTAACTTTGTCATTATGATGATATAATCTTGTCGCTTTTAGGAACGTGAAGTGAACGTGACCAAGATGTACATGGTGGGCGTCGTTCAGGAAGAAGAGTCTTACTTTTAAGCATAATCTGATTTTATTTCCCTCGTGTTTTTTGTAGGCCCTGCATTTAAATAGTTCTTTCATTTTGACGGTATGATGATAAACAAGAAAATACCAACATGTCAACTGAGACAGAACAAAACTAATCTTCCATGGATATTGGGTCTGAATGAGATTTCAACATATCAGTATGGCCTTGTTGCTATCGATCTGAAACTAGTTAAAGTTCAATATTTTCCACAAGTACTTACATCATAAATTAATGATTCATGATCTTATTTTGCCTTGGAATAATCTTCTATTCAATCCCTTAGTATCTTGAAACTCCTCATTAAGTAAAAGTTTGAACCTTTCTGGATAAACCACATATCTGGACCAGTCTTGAATTCGAATGAAGTAAACATGAAGGTGCATTAATACTTTAAATTTAACGTAAACAAATTGTCAATTTGCATTTAGTAACACGAGTGTTTTTCAGTATTCGAAAATAGTCAGTTATTCGAATAACAGAGGCTTGTATACGAACAAAGTTGTCCTTCTGTATATAACTTGTAGTGGTCACAAACTGAACATGACACCTTCCAAAAATTTTAGAGTGCATTTGGTTTCTGTCTGAAGCCTGCAATCAGCTGTGAACGACGTTAAAGAATACCGTTTTCCACGTACTCATAGAGCGTCATATAGAACTTTCAGTTCATATCGACAAAAGAAATCTGATAGCGATTTTTTTCAGCCATTCTGATCTTCATCTCCTGCCGTTCTAATTTACAACCTCCTTTTCATCCCTGCTATCACTAAGAATAAACAATAACAGACAAATGATTTGTTTTAAAATGTATTTATTGCAAGCCGTCAAGCTAAAATGTCATGACAATGTATAAGTTACTAATTATACTATACAATTCAGTTACCTCACAGATCACCTGGCACAGTACTATATATAGTATACAAACAGGTCAACTGCAGAAGTAACCAAGGATTGTCCTTCCAATCCACAACGTACAGGCCCGCTAGCCATACATTAAAGAGTTTACTAACGATAAGATGAAAGACAACGAAGGGAAATCAGAGTACAACTAATTAATAACTCACAAAACAAAATAACAAAGCATTTCTGTTAAATACTAACAAAACTAGGAGACAACATTTAACATTGCATTTACAAAACATAAGCATTCATACATCTGTTAAATATATACATCATCTTTGAATGGTATCCTCTGTAAATGTTAACATGATATACAAGACTGCTTTCTTGAATAACAAGTTAGTCAATTGCTTATAATAATGATGAAGATGCTGACTGTTTGAACTGGTGCTAGACATGGTTAGAGCACTTGGCCATGCTTGATTATGATTGCATCTGCTAGGACAGCATTGGTGACAGATGAAATAGTACCTTGCATCTGACCATCAATCACGACAGTACTTAGGCCATGAATAGCAACTGTGCCAGTATTGTATGCCAAAAATGAAACCAAAACGTCAATGTTTTCTCATAAAAAATATACCAGAATATTGATAATTAGTAGGAAGATGACCAAACACTGCATGGGCAAATCATACATAACACAGTCAAACCAAGATTGTGCATTGTAAATGCTTATCCTCAAAATCATTTTCCATTGAAATTTAAATTCTGTGTAGTTTTTGTATTCACCAACTCATACATGATGCCTTATTGAATCCGTGAAGTTCTTTTTTCAATTCTATTTTTGATCTTCATCTTATTAGTTAATTGACAACTAAAATTAAAAAGCTGAAACACCTGACAAGTTTCAATTAATACTTAAATTTCTTTAAGCTGGGCTGATGTCTTTCTTTTACAAAATGAAAACAAAATTAACATTCAACATATTGATACAATTGAATAATAGTATGATTGGTTTTTAAAAAATCCATAATTTTTCAGATATTCAAGGGAATCCAACAGAGTAGAATTGTGTCAAGCTATCCCATCTGTCCCAGTGTTCAAAAGCTGGTTAGGGTTAACAAGTGGTTAGTGAAAATTTTCTAAAAATATAAATCAACCAAATTAGAAACATACTTTATCATGTCATACAATCAGATTCATTGAGATATGTCAAATTAACACAATGTGATTGTTAATTTTGCCTTTAATACTCTTGTATTACCAGTGGCAACAAAAAATTTGAATTTTTCACTAACCACTCATAAACAAAAAATAACTTGTACAGGCGGGGTATTGTGGTTATATACAGTTCAAGCAGTATACTTAAGCAAGCTAAGATTCAACTCTTAATTCATGTTGTTTCTAATTTACTTACAGTTGAGTCTGTTACGACTTTATCTTTTGTATATCTTATTAAAAACTGACACGAATTAGAATCAATATACTGATATTTATTTCCCTTTGAATGAAGTAAATTCACTTCAAAAAATATTTTTAACTTATTTTTTCTTATATATTTTGTATTGTTAGAAACAGGCAAGTTTTCTCCATTATGAAAGACTTTGGTTTACTTTAATCAGAATATAATTATATATAATACGGAGATTATTGAGTTTCTACATTACGAATATATGTCATAAATATGTCAAACACACATTGATAGCTAGCTAATTGTTAAACAAGCTCGTCTCATTATGAACTGAAGTTTGACTACAATAGCGCTTACATAAAAATTCGTTTTCTACAGCTAAGTGAATTTAAATGCAACTATTTCTTTCCTTCTAGTGTGTAATCTAATTTAAATATTTTTTCCCTTTATTTCTCCACAACATTGTCACTTACTTAAATATGATGTGACAAGTGTAGGGGAGATAACTCGCTATTTAAACAGAGCCAGCTGTCTGTTATGTAGTAACCTTGCATTGCAAATGTGCAAAATAAACAGATAAATATCATTGACAAAAAGAAAGAATACCTGGGTTATATTTAATCACACTGTGTAAGAAAAAGTATAGTGATCATGGTTATAATTAAATACTGACTTAAATTGTGGCCAATGTTTCGTTAAGAATTAAATCATTTCTGAAAAAAATGACTACACTTAAATCATCAACCAAAATGTTATTAACTTAAATGTTTCAATAGAACGTTGATACTAGCGATGAATTCAATTTAAATTTTTTTTCATACAGCACTATAATCATGCTTTAGTCTTTTATTTTTTTTTTAGAAAATATTATTACTGCAAGCAGAAATGAACACAGGCTTTCATCAAACATACATAAGTGGGGAAAAAATAATACACTTAAAGCAACATTGCTATGAAAGTAACAGCCAATAATTATATCTATAAGACATAATATTATAGACACACAATGTGACACTAGAAACAATGGAAAACTTACACATGAGAAAACTGTTTAAGCGTTTGTTTTTCTGGAAAAATAAATACCATTTATCACATATTGTTTTCAGAATAATTACCTGGTTACATTATCACCTCAACATCAGTTATTATTCTCATTTCTTTCTTGAAGTATTCACACAATCTAAATGGTGAGAAATCTTTTGATGAAAATTATTATACAATGAAAATATTGATTGATATAGGTAATGTTTGAGCCCCAAGTGTATTAGTTAGTATGGGAGGATATTTATTGCACTTTAGAAAAAAAAATATATGGAAATGAACATACAGACGTTTAAAGATATGAATTAAAACTAATCAAGATAATTAGTTAACACAGCCATACAACATCATACACATATCACTTTTAATCACTGAAAACACGTATATCTATATCACTTATAACCACTGAAAAACACAAAACATTTGCTGAATATCACTACAGAACTCATTACAGTATTATGTAATCATTGAAAATATGTTACTTGTCTTCACTACACTATACTAGTATTCCACATATGAACACAACGATAAACATTATAGATCAACTTTAAAAGTGTTGTTTTTTTTAACTGCTCAAGATTAACTCATTATCTTTTTCAAAACTTAATATCATTTCAAAATGAAAATTGAAAAAGTGGAAACATCTGATCACAAAAGTATTTTACTAATAAATGGAATGCTGTTTTTTTCTTTCTTCTTTTTTATAAGATATTTTTCCAAAAAAAAAAAATAATAATAATTAACAAAAAATAACAAGTTGTTGTAATCAATGCTTCCTTAAAAATTTTCTAGTTTTATCTTTGATAGTTAAAAACTAAGACTACGTTCTATAAATCCTATTTAACATTTTATTAAAAACTGACAAGGCAATAAACAGTCTGTCATTGAAAACATGAAACTTTTTAACTACACAAGTATCTTTCTTTTCAGTTTAATAAGGACAATTTTGTGTCTGGAATCACCAGTCTGGAAATTTCATGTACATCTATATCTCAACAGCTGAAATAACTGAATTAAATAAAAAAAAAAAAAAGGGATTGCTGTTGATATTGTCTTGCTCCGATATAGAAATAGCAGTATTTTAAAGGAAACTACCGAGTTGTCGTCAAGACCTCCAGATGAATATCTAGACAAACTGTACAACATCTATATTTCAGTAAATTCTCACCAAAAATATTTCCCATTTCAAAATATAAAATTTATCAAGGAAACTTACAAAGACATAGCTTTAAACGATAATAAGAGGGTAACAACATAACACTATAATTTATAGGATATTAAACTCATTAAATTCGGCACTTTGAAAAAAAAAAGAAATGTTTACGATATTGTACGCATGTCAAAAATGATTTCTGGAATCAAAATTTATTCAAAATTGTTTATTTTATTGTAATATTTTTTTCTCTTAATTATGTCGTCTTCAGCAAAACCTTGTAGATGACTGACCCATGCCACTCGACAGCCTTTCAAACAAGACATTTATCAAGTGAAGTACAAATATTTTCGGTGAATGCAAACATCTTATCATTAATCTACATACACAAAAAGATATTCATTTTTACATCAGTTATAATACTTGAAAATTTCTAATATATCTAACGTTCTTCAAACATGTTAACACAATGACATATCATGAAATTGATACCAGCAAAATGTGATCATTAATTAATGCAGATCGTTTTTCAATGAAAATGTTAATGAAAAGATGAAAAGATATGAAGAGACTTTGTTAAAAGAAGTTCAAATGCATAAAAACTACCAATATTTTACAAAGATCTTTGTGATAAAAACATGGCTTATGTTTTTCTTTTCAATTTCACATGATTTATACAAAGTCTAACACATAAAACACACTTTACAGATATAAAAACATGATATGGCTTTTTGTATCACTTCTCCAAAGTGACATAGAAGTTTTCATCACAGATGTTCTGACTTGCTCAATGTATATGTCAGTGAAAGTGCTTTAAGATAATAATCCAAAGCAGGAAATCTTTAACTCCCCTGATTTTTAATTTTTGATTTTCTATTCTTTCTCTTAAGGTTGACAGTTACAGTATTTCAGAAATATCACAAGGATTGACTATAATTTTCAATTTGATAAAATGGAAATTATTTGAAATTTGCAATTTCAGATTTTCTTTATACAGCACTATGGTTTTACATATTTCAATATTCTAACGCAGCACTAAATATTAATGGCAATTCAGAGTTGTTGCCCCCTTTCCCCAAAACTCGACCATACTCAATTATGCCCCTTAGTTGCAACAAACTCTCTTAAAAATAGTAACATTTTGCCTCAAATCTAGCAATCAAATGTATTATACCTGAGAATTTCATGAGTACGAGATCGGTACCTACCAACTGATGTATTTTCCCCAAATTCTCACTCACATAATATATGTATTATTTATACATTCTTTTTATCACAGATTCTTACTGCTCCAAGGAACAAAATAACTACATCATACACACTTAGGCCAAACACTTCTATGGAAATCCAGGTTTTGGTTTCACCAAAACATTAATGATTTTCCCATAACTTAAATAAACCGATATTGGCATCATAGCATGACTGAAGTTAGAGGAGTTTTTACCTAAGTATATTTCTGAAAAGCACATCTCCAAGGCTTAAAAAACAAGAAGTGTGATTAATATGACAATGAATGGAGACTGAAACAGAAGTAAAACATGTATTCAAAAAGCGTTATAGATATTGTAAATATGCCCGTATCATACATACAAATAAAAACAATTTGGAATTGAAAATTAAATCATTGATGGTCTCCGCAAGTTTCTCTCCGTGATATTGTACGATTTTAAAAATTTTTTCACTCGCTACATCATTGTCACATTTCAGTCTCCATCTGATTGTTACTTCTCATACTGGCTGTCATGTGATTGATCCGATTCATAACAACATATCAACAATTAGGAAAATATTGTTCTAAAATCTAAACCATTTTCATGTAAAGAAATGTACACCATGTAATAATGTATGATTACTATGACATCTCTCATACAATGTATATTACAGCCGTTACCATAACAACATGTAAGCAAAATGTAGCCAATCCAGTGTGGTACTTTCACACTTAGAAAAATTTTTGAATTTTTAGAGTTTTACACACAATTTTTGATAGGATCTGTATTATAAAGATCACTGGTTTTGAACCTTCTTAATCAATTATTTCAAATAACCAGACAGCAAATTGAGACAGACAATGTAACTTACAAAAACTATTGTAGTATTATACTGGTCCTTAAAGAAAATTTACAAAATTTTGACAAGTAAAAGTATCATCCATAGATAACATATAACATCTTACTCCATGTTTTTTTCTTAATAGCAAATTTTTAGGGATCAAGAAAGATCTACACTTCAGAATTTCAGTCTGGATTGGTATAATGCAAAATATTGCATTTGATGTGGCTTTGATATGACACACACACATTCCATCTTGATGACTTGAAAAAAGAAAGGTACTTTTACACACAAATGTGTGGATACTGATACCTATACCGACAAACTAGCTGACACATTATATAGTTTACTATTAACTGATGACATGGTATACAATACAAATGATGCTGTCACACCCAGTGACAAGGTCACATTAATGTGACATGGTCCACATAAAAGGTAGAAGTTGGGGTTTCACTATGTCATCGGTCAAGGTCACTTAAGTCCTTGTTCTCTTTTGCTGGAACATTTCTTGCCTTGAAAACATACAGTGCAGTTACAGCAACAGCAAAGATGTCACATAAACTGGAAAAACAGAAGGCAGTTACTGCTACAAAGGTCAACATGGTATGGTCAATGAAGCATGGATCCCTCTCAAAGGTCTCTGTCTTGACCTTAATGTAACGGCCATCAAACACCTCATTGCAAATGTCTTTCCTCACAAAGGTCTGCCTTTAAAATACACCTGACAAACTGTCAAAATCTTTCTATAGCCAAGTGGCTGTTTGAAAGGTTTTCAAATAACGTGACCTTCACAGGGGATGCAAGTTCTGTGTGATCATATTTGTTGGTCCTATTAGCGCAAATTGTAGAATAATGAGGCCAGTCTATGATGAGGGGTAATAATCAAGGTCTTAATTTGCCCCATCACCACCTGAGAGAAGGGAGGGCCACCCCTCCCTATATCTCTATCAGTCCCAACCATTGTCCTTGATCATGTGTGCCAGCTCTATGATAAACTTTCCCTCCTTGTATTTTTGACTAGACTCAAATGCATGTTCCTGAAAGTATAAAAACAAGTTTATACATAAGTTAATATATCTCTGTAAAGTATTCAACAAATAAGAATGTACACCTGATAGTTATCTACGCTACAATCCATGTGTTTGTAACCTAAACACCATAATTGAATATATCTTGTATACTAAATCATTTGTCGTTACTAAATCCGTCTATTTATGGCAAACAGGAAGTCTGTCCCTAGGTGTTATTCTGATTCAAACACCCAGACGATTTATCAATATGTTTTATAAATAGTTTTCATATCAATTAAGAAAAAGAAACAAAGGCCGTATCATAACATGATATCAACATCTATTTTACCATTGTAACTTTAAGTGGTATTATCATGTTGAAACTTTACAATTGTTATTTTCAGTAAACTTATCACCTGAAATGTTATGATTACCATTTCCAATGATATCATCAGCCACAACACACAAGTTAATAAATGTAATGGTTTTATAAATATCCCTAATTAATTAGAAAGTGAATGAAAAATTCATTTCTATTCTGAATAGGGATGTGAAAAAAATTGACAAAAAAAGATATATAAACAGATATTTACTGAATGAAACTGGAATTAAAACTAAGTAAATCACACTGAGGAATAATTTCATAATTCCTAATAATTTTTTGTGAAACACTTAAACCACGTGAGTCAGGTTATAACATAGACACATGTTTATCATGACATGTGTCCCACTGTATATAGATCATGGCGTTTGTCACCGAGTAACCTACATATCAGTATATGATAACAATCAGCTGTTATTGTTTACAGTGTCTTAAAACTGGGTCATTATAGACAGGTCACAGAGGACTGAAGTAGTGCAAAAATCTCTTCTCTGTTTTAATTGATATCATAAATTCAATTTCATATTAGAAATGATCGTTATCCCAACCAAATTGGTCAGATCGACAAAAATGCGAACTGAACAAGGAAAATCATAACTAATTATCTCATCATCAGTATGTAGTTTTACTAATTAAAACTAAATGTAATATTTGGGTGAATAATTCTAAATTGTTTTGACTTAGATAATTCACAACAAATCAATATCTAATAAAGAAACGCCATATCAATTAGAATTTGAAATAACTTTGCTGATTTGCATCAATGGTCCTTGTTTTATAGACCTTGAGATTTCTCCACATTTCAAAACTGGAATTTGTAAATTTCTCGTTTAATTTATGTACAACTGACTATTACAGGAGGTACTTAGTTTTAATATAAAGCCCGAGAAATATACCTGAGTTGATAAACGTAAGGTAAACTGCTAGTGTACTGGCTATGACAGTGATTGTGGCAATGTTTTGTTCCAGCAATTCAAAAGACGTGTTGATCTCTTGAACAAAAATTCACTCAGGTCATTGTTGACTGATTGCAAAGCAGAAATGGTGTTAAAGCTTGTCAATACAAGGTTGGTCTTTCCACTTAAATATGGAAAAGGCTGATTTTTGAGAACCCAAGTTTTAGGCTGTTCAATGTCCAGGTAATGACAAAAACTTGCAAATGAATTATTTTTTCAAAGATGCACAAAGCAATCATTTATTTTTGTAAGTTTTAAATCAAAGAGTTTCAAATATTTGAAATAAAAACGTTTAGAACAACTCAAACAAGGAATGAAAAAAAATACAAAAACAATGGTAACTTACATATTTCCAGCCCAAGGTGGTTTTACAACATTCACAAAATATGTCAGCCACAGCATGAAGTCCTGTGAGTAACACCCTCTCCTCTGCTGGACCACATTCTACATTTACCCTGAAACAAAAACAACCAGTGGTCAAACCAGAAATTTGCGAGACAAAAACGACACAAGACCATTGACCCTTCTTAATCCTCTTGCCCTTGCTAGTTGGAAAACAATTCACCAACAAAGGCATTATTCCCAGGAAATGTAAAACTGGTTTCTCACCTGTAGATCAAGTTAAGGACATACTTGAATGTTTAAGTTTTTTGTTAGTTGGATATGAAATAAGGTGATAATACTGTTCTAAAGGCTGAATGCATGGTTTAAGACTGGATGCAAAAATGAAAATAATAAACTCCCTTCAGTTGTAATAGGTCTGTTGGAAAACTAAATAATTTGGAAGTGAAGCCGGGCATAACACCACTCATAACAACAAACAAGAAACTGTAAAACAATGTTGGCCATCTTTGATGAGCAAAGCACAAAAAAGTTGAAAACACCTTCATAAAGAAGATACATTTATTAGAAGAAAAAGAACCAAAAAGAAAACTTTCAGGAGAACAAGAATCTCATTAAACGTCCATCCCTTCAAGAGATGACAGTCATACACAATACTACAAGGACATTTATGTAATCTGTATATGCATGATTCATGGTTTTTAATTTAGCAAGGCGTTTGGCTTGATAGATCAGCACTTACATATCCATCCCATTGGCTGACTAATGTAAACCTGATAGAGGGCTGGATCAATAACCTGAACATCAGAAACCTTACTTACATATACGCACATGTACTGAGTAACCTACCATTATAGTGTCCAGGGTTATACAGGCTGTCTTGAATCATTAGAAAATAATGCTCATTAATAACCCCGCCCCTTCCCCCACAAGCAATTTGAAAGCTATCGTAAATGAATTGATTACTACATATACAGGTACTGGTATGTACATCTCTGTATTTTAAGAAGAAATTTTGAAATGTTGAGTATTTGAAAACTGAAAATTGACATATAATGGGTTATTTCCTATTAAGGAGGCATAATTACTTGAATGCAACCACAAATCAATCTTTGAACAAAATGCTTTGATTATCAATAACTTAAGCCAAGCAGATAATCCTAATATTTGTTGCTTTTGGACAAAAACATCCTTTCTTGTTCATTTCATAGAAGGAAAGAAATTTATTAAAGAAACTTAATATCAAGCAGCTTTAACCTTCTTAAAAGTCAGTCAATTTAAACCATTAAATAATCCCCTTTCATAGAAAAGAGTAAGATGTTACGTTAACCTCCCTCTTAAATACTACTAGAATCAGCTATTACATTAACCTCCCTCCTAAGGCACAGATTTCTTCATCACATTAGCCATCTTCCTAAGGACTAGAGACTCTCATTACAATGACCTCCCATTCCTAAGGACTAGAGTCCATCATTACAATGACTTTCCCTTCCTAAAGACTAGAGTCTGTCATTACAATGACTTTCCTTCCTAAGGACTAGAGTCTGTCATTACAATGACCTCCCCTTCCTAAGGACTAGAGTCAGTCATTACAATGACCCCCCCCCCTCTTCCTAAGGACTAGAGTCAGTCATAACAATGACCTCCCCTTCCTAAGGACTAGAGTCTGTCATTACAATGACCTCCCCTTCCTAAGGACTAGAGTCAGTCATTACAATGACCTCCCCTTCCTAAGGACTAGAGTCAGTCATTACAATGACCCCCCACCCCCTTCCTAAGGACTAGAGTCAGTCATTACAATGACCTCCCCTTCCTAAGGTCTAGAGTCTGTCATTACAATGACCTCCCCTTCCTAAGGACTAGAGTCAGGCATTACAATGACCCCCCCCCCCATTCCTAAGGACTAGAGTCAGTCTTTATCATTACTCTCCTTTCTCAGGACAAAAATCATGAAAACCCATTACTCGGGACCATTTAACACAAATGTCACATCCCATTATTTTTAGCTAATTATGCTGATATAAATGAGAAGATTTTTCAGAATGAAGGCAAACAGTCTGATCAAGGTGTTACAAAACATCCTACGTGCTTGATGCCTTTGGGCTTAAAGGATGCTGTTGTAGCATTTAGTTATGGCGACAAGACAACCTCTCCTTGTTTGCCGTTGACCTTTCTGATAGTCACTTTCATTTATTTTTGTCTCCCATGCAAGGCATTATGTTTTGAGGACATCCATTTGTTGGAGATTAATGGAACACAGTCATGTTGTAACCATAAATATTGATAACAATAACAGTAAAATGGTCTCTTAAATGTCAAAGCAATCTACCTCAACCCGGGCTGCATGATCAATTAAAGCAAAATACAAAGTCAAAATAATATAAAACTGATGATGAATGACATCCAAAAATGTGCAATTTTCTGTATTCCATCCTTATCTTTTTTAATCTGTAGACTCCAACACGAGGAATGAAGAATAATGATGATGCTGACGTAAATTTGAATTAGACTGAAAAATACCTCACTAGTAATTTTGTCAATACTTCAATTTTGAAATAATGAAAATAGATGAGGGCAACCAAATGACATTTAATCCAAATGAATTCACCTTGACAACCAGAATGGTAATTAGTGGCACTTTTTAGCAGTTACGCACTGTCTGTTTGTAATGTACATTGCATTAAACGAACTACCAAACATATTCAAATTGTCCTTGAAATGGCGGCTTATCTTTAACTTTTTACCATGTGACATCAATTAGCATGCACAATCTTCCCAAAATTAAGAAACTTTACAGTATCAAGCAAGTATTATCAAATAAAAGATAACAATTATCTACATCTTGATAACATTTTCAGCAGTAGAAAAAAAAACCATGTCTGCATCCAAGGAGATTTTATTGAAATATATCACCTTTACTTATTTTACAAGTGAGATACATTGAGCCACATGCGCATGTATGGAGTTTATAGAATTTATTGTATAACCTTAGCGATTTCCCGGTGAATTTGGTACAGATATCATATATTTATAGAATGTTGTAACCTTCCACTTTCAAATGCCAAACCAGTCATATCTAAATCTCTAGGAAAGGCCTCAAGATTTGTGTAGGATCAAGTCATTGATTTTTCTTTTTAAATAAATTCAATATGACAACCAAAAAAAAAAAAAATAAGATCCTCTACACACCATACCTGCAGAGAAGACCTTGTCTAAAGTGTCCTTCATCTTTATGGCACATTTAAACATCAATGACTAAAAACTTCATGGATTGATGGGTATTTTTTTCTCTTATCTTTTATTGACAAGATCAAAGCTCCAACTTCCTTGAAATATGATCATGACTTAATCTCTTTCAGATCCAAAGTTGATGGAAGGAAGCTTGGAAGAAGATGCTCAACCATTCAGAATTTTTTAAAAAATTTTTTTCAAAGTTGCTTTTGCAGAGATGTATGATTTGTAGTAAATTACAAAATTCTCCATATTGTGAAGCTATGAGTCATTCGAAAATTTAACTTTCCATCAGGTCTTCTAAGACTTTAAATCACAAGTAATAACTCCCGAAAGAAAAAATTAACAACCTAATTACATGGAATATAACTATCTTCAAACAATTCAGTATTACTTTCAGTAATCAGTGATCAACAATTTTATATCGTTTCCATTAAAATGAGACTTTAATGATGAAAATTGGTCAAAGTTTCTTGTTATCCTAATAATTAGATTACTTTGAGGAAGATGTTGAGATTTGATTTGAAATCCTCCAATCATCTAGAAACATCAAATGTTATAACCAAATGAGAACTTTTTTTTCACTTCTTCATCCAGTCTGATACCTTTGTTTCATTTTAGAATTTTAGATTATAAAGAAATTCGAAATTTAACATGACACAAATTTTGTAATTTCATCCAACACAGGTGTCGGTCCAAGTTTCAAATAACATGCAATATCTTGATGAGAGTCAAAATTTTCCTAGCATCATAAGTTTATGCCATCATCACAACTCATACCTATTCAAGTTTCAATTACTGCCAAACAATTTTTATGAAATATAGTCAAAATAAGTTACAATGAACATTTTCTTAAAACGAAATAATTTTTGACTGAAAGTGTTGACATATTGTCTCTAAGGAAAATTCTATTTCATAGGAAGGAAAACCTGAGGTTATGTACATTAAATGCCATTTAAAAGTGAAAGTGGAAAATATAAATTGACTGACACCAGAATGTTTCTGTAAAGATTTGGCACCATGATGGAAATTTAACCAAAATCAATACCAAATGCAAGACTGCCATTAGACTTAAAACACCCATTTCATTTCCATGCTATTCCCTGAATGTTTGCCAGTTCAATACAGAATAAGTTGTGTTTACTATTTGGCAGCTGTACTCTGACTTAAATGAGACCACAAAGTAATGAAGTCACCAATTTAAATCATCAAAACAGACATGCTGTCTTCTAAATCCTGCTTTGTAACCCTTACAATTCATTCACAAATGTCGCAATGGAGGGGAAAGTTAAAAGATTCTGACACAGACAGTAATTTTGTTTGAAATAAGATTATCTAGATAAGATCCATAGCCAGATATCCCCACCATAAACATGTTCGATTTAAGGAGCATCCCCGTCAGTAATGCTTGATATAATGAGAAATGTCCACTGACATTTATATTAACAAACAGTACTTTACGCATTTTCTGTATGTCTTTAACGTATTTCATGTAGTGGGAAATCAAACAGAATGCTTCGTATAAAAATTTCTAAAACAACTGAATGCAATACTTAAGCTACAAAAGTTTTTTTTTTCCAATGCAACGCATTTTCTGTATGTCTTGAACGTATTTTATGTAGTGGGAAATCAAACAGAATGCTTCGTATAAAAATTTCTAAAACAACTGAATGCAATACTTAAGCTACAAAAGTTTTTTTTTTCCAATGCAATGCATTTTCTGTATGTCTTGAACATATTTTATGTAGTGGGAAATCAAACAGAATGCTTCGAATAAAAATTTCTAAAACAACTGAATGCAATACTGAAGCTACAAAAGTTTTTTTTTCCAATGCTCATACACAAAGTAAGTATACCCTACAGGCCCTCAACCCCAGAAACA